ATCACTGAATGTGTTTGATTACTTCAGAAAATGATCAACCAGCTTCTAAGACTGAACTTTGGAGGTGAGTCTGCAGATTCTTTGAGGAACTGAAAGTGAGTCTCCTGAAAAGAATGGAAGCTGGAATAAAAAGAGTGTGGACGCACTAAATACTGAAAAATGCATATATTTAAATTATATTATGCTTTTATCAGAGATCATGGAAGTGGTGAAGCAAAGGGAAGATTAATGTGTTTTTTTTTTCACCCAGCCATGATAACCACAGAGCAGACAGTCAGGCCGAACTGTTTTAAAAGCATGCATCATCTCTCCCACATGTGTGTATGTGCTGCTATTCAGAGGATGCAACTTGCTGCAGAGCACTTGATCAAAACTTGTGATGTTTATTCTGTTATAGAGGTCATTCACCTTGGGCCTATCACAGGTTTAGGCTACTTTTTAGGCTTTCTGACACACAAACATAAAAAATGGCTATTTTTTTTTAAATCCCGCATAATTCAACGGTTGCAGTGTAAACAAAGTCATTCAGAGTGATTTGACGTGAAATGCTCTGCTCTAGATAAACTTACTGTCTCAGATTTCTTTACAGTGGTGGTGATAGGAACCAAAGGTCAACGATATCTACACCACAAATATAGCCATTTCAGTGACTATGCTTTTATATGTAATATTGATGATGGTAAAATTGTAGTAAATCTGAAGCAATATGAAGTTTTATACATTTTCAAATTCATAAATACACTTTTACACATGAGAAGTTTCTGGAGGTTTTTATAGGCATGAAATGCTTTAGACGTCTGGTTTGTATCACCACCACTATGAACATTTCTGACCGATGAGTTTCTCTACGACAGAGCGTTTCACACCAAACCACTCTGAGTGACTCTGCTCACATCTGAACCATTCAATTATGCAGAAATTCTGAAACATTGGTGGACTCACTGAAAGTGGCTTTTACCACATTGGCTTTTACACGGAGATCGCAGCCAGTTTCTATTTTAACCCCTGAAATGGCCAGTTTTATTACACACTTCTATAGCCTAAGAATAGCTCAGCCAGTTTGCATTGAAGTCCCTGTAGTTACTGGATAATAAGCCTTAGTATGTAATGAGCCTGAGATTTTAAGGGGTTAAACTTTCTTGAGCCGCAAAACTGATCTGTTATGTCTGTTTTAACTCAGTTAACCCGTTTGTTCATTGTCTCCATTAGCTTTTTGATCACATTTAATTTGCTACCAGCCGCTGCGGTTAGAATCCAGACAAACCAGTTACGGTTAAGCACTGTTCTAGTGAAAGCAGCTCGGTTTGAAAGGCTTGAGTCATTTTCAGAAGCACTCCCAGCGTTTATGATGAAAGTATTTTCACATTCTGATTTGACAGTGACGTCACTGACACTGCAAGGTGGACTGAATTAACTCTAAAGACACACAACAATCCGTCCCACTCTAATAATGTAATTTGGTGTCATTTGTTGTGAGATTCCCTCTTATGTTCTGCTCGAATTGGTCGTTGCTGTAATACAGCAGTTTAAAGCTGCTCTAAGATTGTAGTGTAACTATTGTAATACAGCCCAGATAGTAAGAGGATAGTGGGACACAGTCGGCCCACTGATAGCAAAGTTGGCAGCCCACTGGCCTTTTGCTCAGCATTTTGAGGGCAGCTCACTGGTAGTTAAGCAGAGAAGAGACAAAATGCCATTTGTCATCGCTCACTTTGCACTCATAGTCCAATTTACTATTTTCTCCCTTTTTTCATAATCCTTTTAAATTAGTTAGCAAATTAGCAAATAATTTTAACAGTGATATTGTGAATAAAGCCGGTTATACAACTGCAACCAAACTAACACAGTGTCAGCAACAACCTACACACATACATACATACAGTTTGTAGTATTCATCTTCGTTTTTTTTCCACAGTAAAATGCTGTGCATTTAAAATCTATTTAAAGAGATTAAAAAAGTAGTTACACCTTGCATGTAGAACAGTAGTCTGGGTGGTCCGTGGGTGGACCAGTACACTGGAAAAATGGTATCTTGTCAAGTGAAATGATCTTAAATCTAGTTGATATATCTAACATTTCCCATTTTGAGATGGTTGTGCACTTATTATAAGACTATCTAGCAAACTTCCAGAAATCTTTCGCTTGTTTTATGTAATTTTTATTAAGTAAAATAATCTCACTATACTGGCAGATAATGTTGCTGGTTTCTTAAAACAAGCGAAATGATCTGCCAGTGTAGAGAGATAAAATTACTTAAAACAAATAAAAGATGTCTAGAAATAAGTTAAATAATCTTAAATTAAACTCACAACAATCCCAACAGGAGAAATATAAGATTTCTTGACTATATTTACGATGATTTTACTTGACAAGATACCATTTTTTGCAGTGTACTAGCATAAAGTCAGCTGGGTGCCAACCTAATCAAGCCAGCGGACTGATATATAACTGCTGGAACAAAACCTCCAATCTCCAAAATGGTAACTTTACAGGAGAAGGAAAAAACATACTTTACTTTTAATGTAAGTCAGTGGAATCAGACTTTTTTCCAGGTGATTTTGTGCCGTTTCTTTTGGTGCATTCATCAAATTTGCACACAATGTAAAAAAGGCAACAAGTGTTTTCAAATTATGTTAAAACCTAAAAATGAAAAGAAAAAAAAAAAAGGAGATAAGACAGCAGTGATGTGCTCGCTATCAGGCTGGCTATATAATAGTATACATGCTTTATTAACTATTGGCCTAAGCATTTTTGTTTTTATCCAATATTTTCAGAATTCTGTGAACAAGAAGTGAATAAGATTATTAATAGTATGCTCCAATTATTCATTCATTCATCATCTAAGCCGCTGATCCTCCTGGGTTATGGAGGGTGCTGGAGCCTATCCCAGCACTCACTGGGCAGAAAGCAGAAAACACCCTGAACAGGCCGCCAGTCCATCCCAGGGCAGACAGACTGACATACACATTCACACATTCACACCTAGGGCCAATGTAGAGTCTCCAATCGGCCTAACAGCATGTCTTTGGACTGTGGGAGGAAACCAGAGCACTCAGAGGAAACCCACACAGACACGGGGAGAACATGCAAACTCCACACAGAGAGAACCCCGTTCACCCCTGACCGGGGAATCGAACCCAGGCCGTTCTTGCTGTGAGGCGACAGGCCTAATATAAAATGATTTTATAGAAAATCTTGTTGACGAGATTAGAATAGTTTAAGATTAAGAGACTCTTATTAGTCCCACAAAGGGGAAATTTCACCTCCACATTTAACCCATCAGTGCAGTGAAACACCACATACACACTGGTGAACACACACACTAGGGGGCGGTGAGCACACTTGCCCGGAGTGGTGGGCGGCCCTATCCACAGCATCCGGGGAGCAGTTGGGGGTTGGATGCCTTGCTCACGGGCACTTTGGTCATGTACTGTCAGCTCAGGGAATCAAACCGACGGCCTTCCGGTCACAGGGCTGGTTCCCTAACCTCCAGCCCACGACTGCCCCCGAAGAAGTGTCTGACCCCGACATTTACTAAACTAATTTACAAAGTATAACTGAAGAAAGGAGGGTTGGAAAAAAAAGTAAATTGGACTGTGAGTGGAATTTTGCCTATTGCTCTGCTTAACCACCGGTGGGCCGCCAGCAAAACACCACTGGACCGCCAGCTATTCCATCAGCGGGCCGACAGTGGTCCACTATCTTCTTGCTATCAGGATCTGGACATAACTTCTCAATAATTGTTGTTTAACTTTCGCAGTCATTTTTAAATCTTCTACAGCTTCTACAACCTGCACTCTGCACAAAGACAACAGTCTAATCTAATCTAATCTAATCTAATCTAATCCAATCTAATCTAACATTCCTTCATATTTATTTACAGCTTTCTAGTGCCTTACTGATCAGCCTATTAGAAACCTTGTACAGGATTAGTATATTAGCATCAATGTGTATATTTTTCTTATATAATAAATGTATAAATCCAGCACATTTTTACACTCGTAAAAAAGATGGTTCTTCAAGGGTTCTTTAATAAAGACAATGGATCTATATAGAACCATGAATTCTCAAAGACCCATTTGCATGCTTAAATGGTTCTCTGCATGGTGAAGCAGCTCTTCAGATTGATGGAGAACGTGCTGTGGGCGGTTCTCTACAGCTTTTTGAAAACGGTTCTATATAGCACCAAAAGGGGTTCTTCTACCGTTGCACGCTTGACATCATAACAGTAGCAGAACCAAAACAGGTTACAGAGAGATGTGCAAGGATTCGGTTCTATGTAGCACTCACGTTTCCAAATAGAACCATTCCCTCGACTAAAGCACCCTTGTACATTTCTCTACAGTCACTTTGGTTCTAGATTGTTGACCCCAAACTTTTGAACCCTACAGTGCACAGTCACTCAGTACTTTTTTCTCCAAATTCAAGCGTAAATCGTCCCAAATTAGCGCGCGCTCCTCTTTTCAGGGAGGCCAGTTATAAAAAAGCCCACACGTTTTCGATGCTGTGCGTTTTGACGTCAACCTTTATCTGTTTGCTAACATCATCTTCCCTTTCTTTCGGTTCAGATCCGAAAACAAAACACAGCGTTCAGATTAGTGACGAAAAGAAGAAGCTGGGAGAACAAATAAATCCAAACTTCGGAGAAAGGGTGGGAGGTTTACGGAATAACGTCAACAGGGGAAAGAAAAAAAAAGACAGAAAAAAAAGTTAGGGGTTAAATTTGAGTCATACGAAGCTCGAAAATAAGTGAAAATTCCTCCGCAGCGGTATGAAAAAACATACCCCGGCTCGGATGGTGAAATCTCAGCACCGAGGTGAGATTAAACCTCGCGATAAATGTTTGGTGTGGCTGTTGAGTCAGAGCGAGTCGCGATTTCCGTTCCGCGTAAAGCACGAAGAGACTTTTTTCGCCGAAAGCATCTCGGACTATTTCACTCGCCAGCAACTTGTGCGGAGGAACACCTTTCGCCTGCGACAGCGGTGCTGCGGCGGCCGTGGTGGGGAAGAGAGAGAGCGAGAGAGCGAGAGAGGAGCTGAGCGAGCGAGTAGCGACGAGTCACACCTCAACACGACTCGAGGAGGAAAAGGAGGGGAAAAGTTCAGATTTTCTCGAGTTATATGGATTTATGTGCTCGCCGCCGACTGTTTGAGACTTTTGAGAGCGTCGGTTTTGTTTTTCGAGTGTGTTTTTTCGCTCCGGCCGCTCTCGAGATTGAGTTGAGGGAACCTCGCTGAGAGAAGGCAGCACGCAGACGTGCGCTCGCGACTCTGACTTATATGTGGATTTTACAGAAAATATGGGTGAATTTCCCCGTTTCTCTTCGGGCAAAGTCGCTTTCCTCGCTCTCTGCTGGGTCCAGCTGTCATACGGTGAGTGGTTCAGTGAGGCACCGTGTGTAATTTTCCGGTTAAAGGTCTTAACGTTAGGCTCGCGCGAAGCATCCTCACCTTTTTCAGCCTGGTCGGTGCAGCAGCCGCGCTGATGTAGTTAACACACTAACCTTGCAATCTGTGGAACCTCAGCCCCTCGTTGCATTTGCTGCATTGCTTCTTTATCGACTTTATGGTCCAGCATAAACCACCTTGTCCAGGTCAGCAGCGCTGCTGTGCAGAACCTTAAGAGGTCAAATAGGTGCACACTTAAAAAGATGGTTCTTTAGTAAAAGCAGTGGTTCTAGTTCTGTATAGAACCGTTTCATGCTTACAGAGCTATTTACATGCTGAAAAGGTTCTTCAGATTTGATTGAAAACGTGTTGTACATGGAACCTTTTTCGAAACGGCACCGAAAAGGGTTCTGTTGACACGATGCTAAGCTTGTAACATCAGAAGAACCCTGTTTGGTGCTGTGTAGAACCATATACAACACGTTCTCCATCAGTCTGAGGAACCATTCCGCCATGCAAAGAACCGTTTAAGCATGCAAGTGCTTCTGTGTAGAACTCATGGTTCTAAGTAGAACCATTCCGTTTACTAGAGAACCCTTGAAGAACCATCTTCTTGAAGCGTGTAAGAACAGATCTAGTACTGATTCGCTTTTATCCGTGTGTTTTGAAGAGTTCTGAGTTCAGCGGTTCAGGAGTTTCGCACCGCTGCCCAGATGTTGGCCAGAGCAGGCCGTAAGCATGGCTGGCGCTTGTGTGCGTGTGCGTGTGTGCGCGCGCGCGTGTGTTTGATGTGTGTGTTTGTGTATTGGGGGGCGTGTGTGTTGTGGGGGTGTTACATGTGTGTGTGTGGGTTCAAATGCATAGCATTCTTAATGGAAAGTCTGCATAGAAAGGAAAATATAATGCAGGGCTAGGTTCAAAGGGCAGCTCCACCAAATTTTCAAAACATGGCTAAGATTCAAGCAGTCGTTCAGAGTGGTTTGGTGTGGAATGCTCCATTTTAGAGAAACTTCCGAGTCAGAATTGGGCACAGTGGTGGTGATAGGAACCAGACATCTGAAGCTTTTAAAGGGCCCATATCATGAACAGAATTTTCCCTCACTTTTCAAAGTAAAAGATTTTGATGTGGTTTGTAAACACAGTTAAAATGCTCCCTCTTAAGGCTGTAACAGCCATTTGAAACCCATTGTTTTGTTAATGTTATGTAAAATCACTGCATTTAAATACAGTTGTGTGCAAACATTTAAAGACCCCCGGTCAAATTACATGTTTTGTTTATTTTCTAATAAACCTAAATGTGGCATTTTTTTCCATTTTAGTGCACAATTTCTATATTTTGGGAAAAAATAAAGCATAAATAAATAACGTGGCATAACTTTTGCACAGGCCACGATGTATGTTTTATTTAGTTTTTCCCTTTATGTTAAATTCGTCAAATAAACAGTAACTGTGCATTAAAATGTGCCGAAGTGTGTCCTCCGTAGAGGATGCATTCACTAGTTTTAAGTTAGAGAAAAATAATTTGACCAGCCAAAATGTTGGCATATGACTGTTTATCTGTCTATTTAGCCTGCAGCCGGTTGGCTCCACCCATCCTGATGTTATAAAGAGTGCTCCAGCCAGGGCAGCCAATTAGAACAGAGCTCATTTACATACATCAGTTTTAAAGGCACAGTAAAGGAAACCATCCTGTAGAATTAAGAGATTTAGAGAAGTTGGAACATGATAAAACTGAATTATGACTGTTTTTGTGGTACATAAATCCACACAAATGTCATGAAAGGGTCTCGGGGGAAAATATACAATGTAAGAATTTTGCATATGGGCCCTTTAATGTCTCTAAAGCCTGCCTCACTGAGGGTAGACACTTATAAATTAGTGGTTTAATCGCTGTTGGGGAAACAGATCCTCTGTGTGTGTTAGGAATATAGTGTCTCCAAAAGTATTTGGACACTCATGCCATACTGTATGTATTAGCTTATTGCGATATGAGACAAAATGTCAGACCAAGTGGTGTTCAGACCTTTCCAAGACCTTTCAAATGGCCGCAGGTGCGTTTTAGAGGGTTGTTCCTTTCCAGATCTCTGCAAAATGTCTTTGTACATATCATGATCCTTTCATTGTGCTTTCCAGAACCCTCAGTGTTGTCTGGTTGGACTTCTTCTCCAGGCTGTCTCCATACAGGGAGTCTAGATGTTGTGCTGAAGGGTTAAATTCAGATCAGATTCTGTGTGTAGAGGAAAAAGTTTGGCGAGTTTTGAAGTGAGCAAGAGTGAAAAGCCTTTTTTTCCCCTCAATCTCAGAAGTGAAAACGAGAATCGGATTTTAATTCTGCTTTAGCTTCCTGCTCAGGAACAGAAAAATGTTCTTTTTTTCCTGTTAGTGTTGTGCTATGCAAATGTTCCCTGGCTTTCAGTCACAATAAATACTCTGATGGAGCCTTTTTCTTTACTCTGATTAACCCCGAATGCTGGGAAATAGGTTTTCTCAGACGAGCTGTGTTCTTTCTGTTTGTTTTGCCTGCAGAGTTTCCACTTCCCTGCTGCTTTAATTGTGTTCTTCATCTCGGCTCAGCTGGTCCTCGAACATGAGCGGCGTTATAAGCTGCCAATCGTGACGCTGATGTGGCCGGGTTAACCCAGATTTTTGAGAAGGGCTGCAACTTATTGTTTGTTAATCGTTATCGTGATATGGGCTTTTGCAGTATGTGCAATATACAATATGCAAATGAGCTGTCTTACTGGTCACAGGCATGCAGTGAGCGTCCTGACCAATCACAGCTCCAGTGGAGTGTTTAGTTATTTATTTAATCCAGCAAAAGTGGGTTGTTTTGGTTAAAGTAGTGTAGGCAAGTCTTAACAGGACCAGTGTCGCCGAAAACCAAACTTTTTCACTGGAATAAACAATAACATTAAACATTAAAAGTAAAGTAGGTTTTTTGCTTCTCCTGTAAAGTTATCGTTTTGGAGATACGAGGTTTTGTTCGAACAAGAGCCATATACATGTGTGTATACACACACACACACACACACACACACACATATATATACATATATATATACACACACATGGGTGTGTATGTGTGTATGTATGTATGTATCGCTGCTGTCGGAACAAAACCTCGTATCTCCAGAATGGTAAATTTACAGGACAAGCAAAAAACCTACTTTACTTTTAATGTAAGTCAATGGAACCAGACTTTTTTTCAAGTCATTCTGGGCCGTTTCTTTTGGTCCATTCATCATGAAATTTACATGCAATGTAAAGAACAACAGGCGTTTTAAAATTATGTCAAAAACTGAAAAATGACAAATTTGGAGATATGAGGTTTTGTTCCGTCAGCAGCGATATATATATATATATATGTGTGTGTGTGTGTGTGTGTGTGTGTGTGTTAGTATACACACACGCACATTTTTTGATGTGGTGTGGTAACACCTTTTAAAAATCCCGATTGTTCCCCTGTCCACACAGTCTGTATGGAGGCTAACCGCGAAAAGGTCCTGTTTTAAATTGTTTTTGTGATGTCACACGATCATAAATATCCGCCTGTTCAAATAAATTATTATTTTTGGTCCATCAGCCCACACAGTGAGGTCATAAGTGGACCTCAGAGAAAATAACGACAAAAAATGTTTAAAAGGCTCATATTATACAAACCCGTATTTTTCTTATGATCTTGAAATAAAGTGCGATGTAATAATAGCGTTTATGTTTTCTGGCCTGAGACTTGAACTGTCAACGCAGTGCGCCAGCCTGCCAGTTATTTGTGGTTGTGATGTCACAGCAGTTCTTAAGCTCCATGTTACTTAAAACTCACATCCTATCAAAGTTGTTGATAATAGACTGTAAGGCCATAATAAAAATTGCAGCTCTTGCGAATTGAAAATTGCACTCTTTCTAATGTTTAAGCCTTTAAACATAATTTTAAAGGGCCCATGTCTTGTAAAACTGACCCTTACTCTAAGTTTGATGTTGTATGTAAACGTTGTTAAAGTACTGTTAAAGTGCTGGCCAGTCCATACAGTCCATATGGAAACTAATTAGCACAAAACAGGCTGTTTTGAATTGTGATGTCAAAAAAACACAGCAGGAAACATGTAGGAAATGGAAAATGTGCCCTTTAATCACAACTTTATTGATCAGCGCGTTTTTAAAGGGCAAATTTCATTCTTACCATTTTTTTGATGTCATATGTACGCATGCAGTTTATGTGGAAACTCAGCTGCAAGAAACGGGACATTCTGAGTTGTGATGTCACCGAAAACAGCAAGAATTATGTAGGAAAGGCCCTTTAATCATGACACATTATTGACCAGTGCGGTTTTTAAAGGGCAAATATAATCGGAAACTGACTTTTCCTTCCTTTTTTCTTTTCTCTAAGTTACCTTGATGTCATATGTAAACATACAGTCTATATGGAAACTCATCTGCAAGAAACGGGCCATTTTGAATTGTGATGTCACAAAAAAACAGTAAGAAAAACAGCAGGAAATGGGCCCTTTAACCCTGACTCATTATAGATCAGTGCATTTTTACTATTGCGAGGCGTATCCCAGTCACGGTATGTGGCAGCACTGATGCAGTTATCGCATTTCGTCCACTTTATGCAGGCCTTTTCATTCGGAAGTACTTGTTTGTTGCCATAGCGATGTTTGCATGTGACTTATGTTCCACATGCATTAGGCAGGCCTGGTGACTGAGGCACAGAAGAGTTTTCACAGAAGAAAAACGAGGCAGTGACTGGAGGCTCGGCAAGAAGCGGCTGGAATGCTGCTGTTGGTGTTTCGCATTCCTCTCCTGCACACACACACACACACACACACACACACACACACACACACACACACACACACTGCGCCCCGGCCATTGTGCTGCTCAGACAATGTTGTTTCTTTCTGCGCCGTATTGAATATCGTTCCCAGAGGTGTTTAACTCAATGCACCTTTTCTCCATCCCTTTATCTCTTTCTCTCTTTTCTGCGG